CATTCCTACCCCCCAGCTCCTACCAGTCGCGAGAATCTTCCCATCTCGCGACTGCTTTCCAATCTGCCTTTTCCACGGCATCAATCGAACCCCCAGCTGCTCCCAGTCGCGATGATCATCCCATCTCGCAAAATCGTTCCCATCGGCCTTCTCCATCATTCCTACCCCCCAGCTCCGAGTGACGCATGTAGTCGAGAGCCACTGTTCGATATCCAAAATTCTTGATGTTTTGTTTCTCCCAACTGGCAATGCGATCCTTGTGGTCAATCCGTTCATTATCACAGGCTTCAGATAGTTCCCACAACGGATCTGAATTTGGGTTACTCTCTGAAATCTTTCCATTTGCTGGTTTTGGGATCTGCTAAGCCACGAAGACTTTCGGCTGATTGATCATGGTTGTGACGACTTGAGTCCTCAGCCACTTGTGCTACAGTCAACACCGGAGTATGAAAAAACCGTGGTTGTCACAAAAATGGTGGAGCAGGCATGCGATCCTCCATCTTAAATGATCACCCTTGTGTTTGATCAAGCTACTTGCTTATTCAATGCCGACTAAGCCTAACGTGGAATTCTTGAGGTGGATCCAATAGTGGCTTTTAGAATGGTGTAACGACCCGCATTGGCCCGAGAAGAGCAATGAGGATCACAACTATCCAGTAATTTTTGGATCTGAGCAAAATCCTAATAGAGGTTTTTGAATGTTTTGATAATGTGATCCACTGCATCTCTTTCCCCAGGATGGAATTGTGGTGAAACAAATCAATTGAACTTGATACCCCAACAGTTTAAGAAATACACCTTATATTTCAATTTCCTTCTCTGGATCATGGAATGATGTACAAATAATTGCATTCATTTGGATCATCTTCTTAGCTTGAATTACTCTGAATTCTTATAACAAATATATGCATGTGTTTGCATTGTCTATCTGCCTTAGCTTGAATTACTCTAAGTTATTATAAGGTCATACCTCATATCAACACAAGTTATAATAGCAATGACCTTATACCATTTGGCAGTGAGCAAACCTTTATTGCTCATGTACATTGTTTTTCAATGAGAATTACTTTGAGTGACTTGGCCTTGATCAATATAGAGTGGTATAATCTACACACAAATTACATGGGGGGATTGAAGGAAAACCTCAATGACCAGACATTGTAAATGGTATCATTATTAGATGTGTGGAATGGAATATTTATCTTATTACTATTGTTGTATGGATTCATTCACTTTCAGCAGTTATGTTTCAAATGTCTGGGTCTGAATTTTGGGATGTTCCAGAATGTATATCAAATTTAGCAGATCAGTTTATTGGAATCTACAACATACACTAATGTTTAAGTTTACCAAACATTATAAATTTCCCATTTGGTTTGGTTTGATCACTTCACATATAACCACAATTCACAAAAAATGAGTTAATGTTAAACAACATCAAGACAAATGATAAAATAATATACAGTAGCTCAGCTCATAGGAATTCATTTCTCTAAATAAACTTAATGACATGACATGTGGGGGGATGATGGGCTTGAGAGGGCAAATGGAACATGAGAGGTTTGGGGTATGTCATAATGACATAGATAACAATTCTAAGTGATTAGACTGAAGCCATTGGGTCAATCCTAAGTGGTTTACCCTTCTTTAAGGATCAACAGGTGTCACTGGAATTTCCAGGATTGCCATTTATTTTTCTTCGTCAAAAAACAATGGGAGAGGAGTGGCTATTTGAGGGAGGAACATAGGAAATGACAGTGTTGTATGAGTCATGAGATCAACTTTGGAAAAATTCACCAGTTGATCTGAGTGATTTGATCTGGAAAGTGTGCCATAATGGTTCATTTGGGTTGCATTGTACTGATTCCAATGCAATAAGAAGGATATTGAATTGATTCTAATCATGGGGCATGTCATTAGCCAGTGGAGATCATTTGATATGATACAGGAGCTTTACTTCATGGAAGTAATATTCCATCAGTAGATAGAAAGTGTCTGCATAAAAATAACACACAAAACCTTTGAATTCCAATAAGAATCTTGCTTTTGAGGTAGGGGGACATTACTATTAGCTTGGCCAGAATATGATCTTGTATATGCTAAGAAGAACTAACTATATTTTTCTATGACATCAGGGAATTTAAAAGATGTAATTGATCAGATTATTCTGGCACAAAGATAGAAATACTTGAAGTTTTCTGGCACCCAGATAGAAATATATTTACTTAGTAAGAAGAACACTTTGAAAACAATTCAGAATAGGGAACAAATCAAGATTGAAAGGGAGGGTCACATTTGTTATTAGTTGATGTGAAGGTTACTTCCAAACATTTGATTGAGTTCATCTGCCTCTAGCGCGCCCTCAAAATGATCCATCATATTCAGACCATTATTAGAGTCACCAGGTATATTTCCAGGGAGGTTGAGCAAGTTCATGTTGGGGTCCTCGTCGACGTCGGTGTTTTCAGGAGCGGTAATTTCGAAGTCTTGGGCCAGGAAATCCCGCATTACTGATTCATCAATGTTGTCCAAGTTGTTACCAATGGCGTTGTCAAAGTCCCCGGAAACCTTAGATAAGTTACCAGTTTGTTTCAAAAAGGACAAGCGAAGTACCTGTTCGTTCCAACATCGGAATAGTTCACCGTCGTTCTCGTAAGGTCCTGTGTTGAAAAGGATGTGTTCTACGTTTTTATTCCAAACAAGCTGCAGGGTGGATAGAGTGATGAAGTGGTTGTGTAGAATTGCTTTCATGAAATCTAATTGATCCTCAGTTGACAGGGTTTGTAACATAGAGTGTGTTAACGCTGGCTGAAGTCGAGTGTTCACCAATTCAGACTGTGAGGCTAGTCCAAACATAAGTGGAATAATCCGTTGGTGCTCTATGACTGCCCAACGTATCAACCGTCGCATCTCTCGGCCAATTCGACAAGTCTCCTCATGTGCTCTCTGTTGGCGGGCAACAAGTCTCATACCGTCTTGAGTGTCTGGATCAATGGCCCATGGCTCATTGTGATTAGTGAAAACTCCATCAATCCAGAATATATTGTCAGGTTCCATTTGGAGTATTGTATCATAAACTACTTCCTGCAGGATAGGACGGTTGGGAAAAGCAGTATGGAAAGCAGACAGATTCCGGTTGTAAGTGTTGACAACAGTTTGAAGGGCCAATGTTTTCTTGCGAATTGAATTTATAAGTTTTTCTTTCCCATCAGTTCCTGATTGAGGGGGAAAGGCACAAGGGTCCATTGGTCAGAAATTTATTTCATGCAGCAGTTAATATGGCTGATTATCTGACCTAGCTTTGAAGCAGTACCCATGCGTACTGCATCCAGAGGCCTCTTCTCCTCAAGGAGGGCCAGGTATTTGCGCCTCAGATCAGTTTTTGCCCACCAGACCTTCAAGAATAAAGCCTCATGGGCACGGCTGACCCCTTCAAGAACTTGATTAGCCCCAACCCGTTGTCGCTGCTGCTCGATTTGAGCCTGAATATCACTGATTGTTGTAACTCGTGCCAGTGCATCCTCAGGGGTTAGGGGAAGAATGTCCCTGTATTTCACACAAAATCAATAAATGCAAGTTCAAATCATGAAGATTGTGATTGAATGAGTCACCAAGCAGTATTCAGGTCTTCTTCTAAAGTGAGCAAACGTCCCAGTTCCAATTTCTGCTGTGCTTTTTCGTTGTTTCGGTTTTGATAATATGCACGCTCAAGAACCCACTGCTGCTGAAAAAAATCCTGAGTGTAATTCTCACCCCCTTCAGAAAATGGGTTGCTTTGGTTGCAGATGCTATTAAGTTTGGTGGTACACTCGATTATTGAATTGTGTGCTTGATCGAGACGTCGATTCATCCACTCACCTACATTCAAGAAAATCATATTGGGGCCTGCTGGAATTGAAAAGAATGAATGATGCCAGAGCTTTGATCAAAAAACTTACAAAGGGAAAGTTTTAGCTTCTCATTATAATAGTCACACTGTCTTCCAATGGCTTGCAGACGGTGAATGCGAGTTGCATTCCTTAGGGGTCCCACCATATCAGATAATTGTGACCAAAGACGCTCCATGCCTTCCCCATCTGACAGGCCCCAGTTGGAGTTATACCTTGGATTGTACTTTATTTGGCAGTCCCAGTTGTGTACATACGCATGGAACACAGATGTACCAAAATAAACTCGATCAAGGTCATTTCCCAACAGATCACGCTGTGTTGAAACAATTCAAAAAATCAATCAGCAATTGATTGAGATACATTCATGAGGATACCAAAAATGATTAAGATTTATTTAACTCACCTTTTTTACATGTGCATCCAGGTGGCAACCAATATCATAGAGTAACCCAAACTTTTTGGTAGGGAAGGCCTTCAGGATATTGTCAATTATACTAACAGGGTAGTAGAGCCTGTTTGAGGGAGATCAACACCTAAGTCTTCTGAACAAGCCTATTTAAATATACTCATTCAGCTTACTTCTCACCACCATGCTGTATATTGTTGAGCTTGAGAGGGATATCATGTCGACAGCAGCTACCAAATAGACCAGTATCGTCAAACTTGTCCCAGGATGCAGAATTTCGTACATCATTTGCGGCCTTGTGGGCATCTGAGCATGAAGTCTATAATGAAGCAGATTGATTTAGTACAGTTCATGAAAAAAAAAAAAAAAAGGCTTGCCCTAAGCTCAGCTACAACTTGGTCAGTTGATTGGCATTGAGCCTCGTGAGTGTTGATTTCGGAAGGTGGGATAAAGTTAGAAGGGTAATCGGCTTCAGTGGGGACATCGTTACTTGCAAACTTGTGGTGCCGGTGTTGAAAGTTACCATCCATGGCGACTATGGCATATGCTTCACCAATCCCAGTTGAACTCTCTTCATCCGGTGATTCAGGCCCAAAACATGCAGGGCACTTTGCTGCCCAATGATCCTGAGTTTTCAGGCCAAGAGAGACTGTAATCAGATCTTTGTGAAGTGTTTGGATCCTACCGTACATGTCCATTGCTTGTGAGAAGGGAATTCGCAATTCACGTGGATTCTGGTTTCGGCTTCGAGCATACATGCTTTCCCTTGATCGGGTATCTTGATGGTACATGATGCCACTGATAAATGAGGTGTAAGGAATTGCGGACTCGTTCCATAAATGCTGGTAGAGCTGAACAAGCGGGATAGCAAAAGCGGTGCGGGGTGTTGTGGGAGAAGCAGGGATGTATCCAAGGTGGATCAAGCGAATGGCGTCGGGAATGCAAGAGCAAAATTCAATTTCTTGACGATGAAATCGGTCTAGACAGTAATCATGAATAGCTTGGTTAGTTTTTTTGGTTCTGTTATGTGTCAAGCTGGTTGGTGCTATTAGGTTATACTACAGACCATGTGTATGTATCAAATCAACCGATCGCTTTCGGGTATTAGGACAGTCACATTCTTCTAACGGTTCCAGGTAAGTTGTTGAAGCAGTCCAGTTTTTAGTGTGGTACTGGCAAACAAAGAAGGCCGCTGTGATGGATTTTTCGATTGATTTCCAGGCATTCGAAAGTCGATCTCTTCTCATGGCATACTGGGTGATGAAATCGTCTGGAAGGGGTGAGTCTTGATGTTGAGGTGGTTCGTGTTGGTGGAAATGGTCCGTAGAGTATTCATCCTGAGGTGACATATTGGGCTCCCGCTCATCCACTCGATTTTGACGGGGATCGATCACAAGTAGTCCATGTCTCAAGGCCATAGCTATCGCAGCATTTAAGTCAACAGGCCGACCAGTGGTACCGCTGCGAGGTTGTCGTACGATTGTGGGTCCTCGTCGTTGGATAAACCCAGTTCGCGTTCGAGCCATGACAGATAAAAACTGTATCAACCTGTAGTGGATGGGAAGTGTTGAGGTCAGTAACAGAAAGATTGAGCTGATGATTGGACTGACAGGACAACAGTGCAGATACCAACGGCTGAGCTCCTCCTTTTGGGAAGACTGGTCAAGACAAGTGGCCAGTGGCAAGAACGTGATGAGATGGAGTGAAAAGGAGGGGAATCGAACAGGGGTTGGTCTTGTGTGCCAATCCAAGCTTCAAGTCGCACTTGGATGAATTTTCAGCACTGAGATTTCTGAGAAGCCTCGAGAAAAGATGAGAGAAACCGAGAGCGCGGAACTACTACTGTATAGGTCCCTCAGCGTCTCAGTGGATACTATCCAGTAGTTGAATAGGTGTCGCCATGGGTGCATTGCACTTAGGTTCTGGAAGATCAATTTCCCATTTCCCTCTCTGAGGTTTGGAAGATGCGTGTACCTTGGGGACTATGCAGCTCAATTTGTATAAGCTTCCCTCCAAGTCCCAACTTTTGGAATGGCGTGGCATATAGGACTTTCTGAAGCCTAGTCCTAATTAGAGTAGGAGCACATCGCCACCGACCCTCTTTTTATTCTCTCTCATCCCCTCTATGTCTCTCCCGTTTCTCTCATTCATTGCCGCTCTTCGACAAGCACACCCACTGTAGTGTCTTTGTCTCTTTTCTTCATCTCGGAGCTTTTATGGACCACCTCTTTGCTGGCAACGAACAGGAACTGGGTTCACTTGCATTCTTGATCAGAACCTAAAAGACTGGTGAGACTCACAGAAATATTGCAGTGAGTATTTTTTTCTCATCTGATATTCTCCGCTATTGGAACCTTCTAGATTAGAATAGCAGGGGTCATTGTTGAAATTTCTGAATTTTTGGAGCCAATTTTAAGGCATTAATTATCATCAACAATTTGTAAAAAAAAATTGACAAGTCAGGCAGACTTGGGGGTTCCTGATCAGTAATCCACACAACTTTCTTAATTTTGAAAAAAAATTGTGGATAAACACCTTAAAATGGGCTTTAAAATTTGATAAATTCCAATCATGAACCCTGCTAATTAACTAAAAAACTCACAGCCTCCTATCTACATTTATAAACCTTTGTAAAAACATCTTATCTAAAAAAAAAACTCTGGTATACAGAGAACCAAATCACCCAACTGCTACAAACCATAAATAACTTAAACTTCTTCCACCCCATAACTCTCCTAACCAACCTTACAAACCGTTAAGTTTTCTCCTTCTCAGAATCCCTTACCTATATTAAAACTCTTCCCAATAGCTATTCAAAGACCAACTGTTGAGATGAATGAAAAATTTGTTAGCACATTATCATTGATTCATTTTCTAGAAGCCTACTTCAGCTTAGAATAGAAGCCACTATGAAGAAAGTGCAGGTGTTATAAGTGGGCCAAGATGCTGCCTGTTTTGAGGTATTTGTAAATCTTCAGCAACAAATGCAATAGTTGATGGATAGCACAACAAACCATCAGGCTCAACAAACTGATCAGGCTGGTGCCTGAATCAAAACAATCTCAGTCTGTCTCCTACACTTTTATGGAAATGGACAAATCAATATATACAACAAAGGGCCACTACACTATGTTATGCTAAAAAAACCACTAGCGTTAGCGTAGCGGCTCTCAAAACAGTGCACCAAACCTATAGTTTTAGTGCTATGTTAGTGCCACTACACTACAGTACTTCTAGTGGCAAAGACAGCCCAAAACCGCTAAAACACGCTGTAGCACAGCGTAGTGAGCCTTTTGTTCAGCCCACACGCATAGCATTAGTGCATTCATGGTGGAATTCCACTGTGCTACGCTAAACATTAGAGGAATTTTGCCTGCACCAACACTACCATTAGTGTAGTGGGTCCATTGTTGATATATGGATCAAAAAGATATAGTGTGTCCTAACAGGACAGAAATGACCACAGAGCAATGGACTAGCTATGATGATCCAGATAAACTCTATCCTTTTGAAATTTATGTTGAACTCTCCCTTTCCAGAATGAGAAAATTCTGGGAGATGCACTGAGATTGTTTCAATGTGAGGACCATCCTTGGCCTGTTGAGCCTGCTGGTTTGCTGAAGATTGAAAATCCATTCCAACTTTAAGTTGGTTTCTAGAAAGTATATCAATCAAATGTCAATTTTTCATTGAATTATCTGTTTACTTATTTTTCAGAAAAAAAGACAGAAAGCTCATAGCCCTGGGACAATGATACACAAATAGATCAGCATATTTAGAAACTATGCTGATCTTAGGGGTAGTTTGCATCAATCCTTTGGGTCATCTGATCAACCCAAACATTTTGGTGATATAAATACGGTTGATAAGAAGGGTTTGATACCCCCACAATAGTTGTGTCGGTTGCAGTTCATCTAGCACTAGCATTGTTTCACAAACCCTCTAGGCTCTATCACCTCAGTGCAACACCGGTTCAATTCCCAACTCAATCTCCTCATCAAAACCATACACTTTGCAATGACACCCAGTACCATCCTAATTGGTGTCTTCATAGCCTTTCTCCCCTTAGCTGCTACTACTGGTGTTGCATGTGCCAAAGAAGATTGCAACTTCAAGTACAATGCTAAACCAATGTATGATGACCACCCATGGCTTAAATTGACAAAGTGTGGGGAGGATTTAGGAAATGAATTTTGTAAGAATGATCGCCTCAAGTCATACTATAAATGTGAAGGCTGTGGTTGCATAACCATCAAAAACAAACCAAATATGCCTGGCACATCAGCACTATGTTCACATATAGGAAAGAGGCTATTTGCAATACCAAAGGCCCCGAGGATTGAAGAAAATAGATCCTCCTCTGGATCAGTTGCTCAAGCATCCTCCTCAGAAGGTGGTATACCCTTTGAATTTGTTGGTGATGGTACTGTCAAGATGTACAAGTTCTTGTGAGGGGCTATAATAAAACCATAAGCTTATAAAAAGCTGCCACACAATATTTTTTTTTTTGGATTTTGAATCAATAATACTGAAAAACAGTCCATTCCTGTAAGGACTGTCAGGTATAAGACCAAGAGAGCCTTGTTGTTATCTAAATACACATGTATAAAAGTACACTTATTACCCATTACAAATAATTTAATATAGACTTTCTAGGAAATATTGTTAGGTTAGGGACAGAAAAACACCTCTTTTGTGTTGATTATCTTGAAACTTCTTATTAGGGGGTATCAAATATAAGAAAGCCACCATTAGAAACCAGTCAATTATCCAGCTTTATTTTATTTTAACAATGGGTCCCCAAAGGCACAAGATGAAGAACCAGCATGTAAAAATGGTGGGTTTTCAAAAACAGTCAATTAAAGAATGGTAGATGTGCCTATATTTGATACCCCCTAATGGATGTATGTCATGTGGATTGTCTTTTTTATATTGACATGAGAGGAAATTCAGAAGAAAAACCATACCATCAATGGTGCAACCAATACAATACACGTATTGTATCTGCACTACATTTCATTGTATTTTGTTTTGAGTACGTGTATATTTGAATACATATATTTGAATAGATTGTATCACCCTGGTAAACAAATACAATACAAGTAAATTGTACTCAGCCGCTAAGTACACAATTCAAAATACAGTCGTATTGTATCAGAATTTGGTACAATACAACTACAGTATTCAGTGTATTGAGTGTATTTTATGGAGGTACTGAACAGCCACTTTGGCCAAAAAAAGTAAAAAGTAAAAAAACCCAATTTTAAAACAAATATGAGTGATTCCAACTGCCAAGTTGGCCAAGTGGATCTGACATGTATGCTATTAACCCTGACAGATACATTTTACAATGCATACACAACTATGTGTTAAGCTCCCTGGAACAACAGTACCATCCTCAATGATAAAACATACACCACAGCTATTTGACCGATGATGCAGCTGGCAAACAAGCTCAAGAACCACTCTCACTAACTGCTGACCCTTACCAGACCAACAACCCAACACCTCCCCACCAGATGTTACTACATACACCAACCATCCATCATGTGTGCCTCAATGTGATCTTTTGGTGACAATTTTGAGGCCAAGGTTTCTCTTCTAGTTGAAAATGGCCTGATAGATGCTGAAATCCGCTTTCAGCCTGCTACTAACCAGAGCCAGCCTGAACATAGCATTCATTTATAATCAAGAGATATTATTACTTACCTATGTACGGTGGGTAGACAGTGAAAATTGGCTGCTTATTTTGGATTCCAGAGCTCCAAAACACAAACTTGAAGTCATGAGACTTGGTCAGGTGGTGCATAATAGGTCCCAAAAAATGAATATGAAATAATAAAAGCAAAAAACAGGGGGTATCAAATATAGGAAACCACCATTAGAAACCAGTCACCTTTCCCAAAAGGTTTTTCTGCATAAATGGGCCCCAAAAGGGGTTAAATGAACAATCAACATGTTTAAAAAAGGGTGGATTTTTTCAAACCAGTCAATTGGAGGACTTCCCGTTGGATCTGGGACCCTCGCAGATGTCGATTTAGACCCAAAAAGTCTAGAATTTCGCAGGGAAATCTAGCTTTTAAGGCCTCCAAATTGCTTCTGGGAGACCCGCAGATTTGACAAGAATTCGTCCATTAAGTGATGGTGGATTTGGTTTATATATTTGATACCCCCTAATAAAGTTTCAAACTTTGTGAAAAATAAAAAAATAAAATTGATTTTTTTTCAAAGGCTTTGATATTCATTTTGGGGGAGTAGAAGTGCTGAGAGAAAGAAAAAATGGAATGTGGGAAGAATGATTATAAATGAAAAAAAATTGAATCCAAAAAATATTTAGCCAGGTTGGTTGTCCAGATTGGAGCCTAAACAGTAAATTCTAGTGCTTTGTTGCAATGTGGGCTGGTGAATGCCCCAGTCCACAGCTGTTTGAAGCCATCTGAAAACCAGTTTTTCCAAAATTTTCATTTATAATCATTCTTCTCATTCTTCTCATTTCCCAATCTTCCTTTCTCTCAGCACTCCCACT